CTCTCTCTCTCTCTCTCTCTCTTTTGCTAGCATCAAAACTAATTTAAGGTCTCGTAGAATTTAAAAAAAGAAAATTTTTTTTCTGTACGGAATTTAATTATCCGTTTTAAAAATTAATTAATATGCGAAAAACGTTAATTGGTTTCTTGTTAAGTTTTAAATTAAACACGAAAAATATAAAGCAACAACAACAAGAGAGAGAGAGAGAGAGAGAGAGAAAGAAAGAGAAAGAGGTTTTTGAATTTTCGTAAGCCTGTGCCCAATGGCGTTCTTTCGAGAGAGAGAGAGAGAAGAGGTTCTTTCGGGAATTTTCTAATCAAGGCTCATTGTTTAAAATGTAAATATAAAGAGGAAAAATTAAGGAAGCTTCGACGACGATGATGACAACAACAACAACAACAAAAACGACAAACTCGAATGATTGGATTTTAATAAAGAAATTTGTTTTTGTTTGTTGGAGGGAAAAAAATATTGTTTGCGACAAACGGAAGAAATTTTGTTTGTATAGTTTAAGATGAGGAGTTAAGAGAATTTTCCGATTGCGTTCGGTAGCGAACTGGAAAAAATTTTTTTTCGTTTTGTTTTTGTTTTTTTACGAAAGGGGGAAGAGTGGAGGAAAAGCAAAAAAGGAAAAAAGAAAAACAGTTGAAAAATTGGAAAAAGTGTGTAAGCGGATCACGAAAGACGAAAAAAGAAGAAGAAGAAAAAAAATTTGTTGTTTGTTGTAATCAAATTTTGAAGGATTCGATAAATTTACGTTCACATGTCGATTTTTTTTTTTTTTTTTTTTTGTTTTTTCGAAAAAAGATTTATAAAAATTTCGACGGAGCCATTTAAGTAATGAAAAAAATTTTCTTTTCCCTCCCTTCCCCCTCTATCCCTCCGAAACAATTTGTTATTTTCTCGGACGTTTATTGGAAAAATCTGGAAAATAAGGGATGAACGAATGGATGGATGGATGGATGGATGGATGGATGGATGGTAGTCATAATAAGGGATGAATAAAGAAAAGATTTTTTCCTTTTTTTTTTTCGATTGTTGTTTGTTCTCTCTTTCTCTCCCTCTTTCTTCCTTGATTTTTCGTTTGAAAATGATAATAATAATAATAATAATAATATCGACAAAGACGGCAGTAAATTACGTCATTTCCGTTTATAAAAAGACAATAAATCAATTAAATTTTATTTAACAAAAAAAAAAAAAATGTTGCGTTTTCTCTCGAGAGATTAAAGAAAAGAGAAAATTTTGCGAATTTTTTGTGCGGGAAAACGGGAGAGGAAGGTGACGGGGGGAGGGGGGGAGAAAAAGCAGAAGAAAAAAAAATCGTTTGAAAACATAATGTTGAAGGTAAAATTAATTAGGAAGTTAAAAAAAAAAAAAAGAAGGAGAAAAAGATGAGGTAAAATCGTTTTAACGATTTGATTATTCGCGAAAGCATTTAACGAATTAATTTAAATTTAAAAAAAGTTTGTTCGCGATTTGCGTTTTTTTTTATTTTGTTGTGAAATCAGGTTTTTCATTTCGAACGAGCGTGTGTGTGTGGGTGCGTGCGAGTATGCGTGTGCGTGTGCGTATCGATTTGTTCTCTTTTGCTCTCTCGAACCTTCCTTTTAATTCGTGGTAAATGATAAACACGCGCACGTTTTCTTTTTGTTTCTTTTTTGAAAATTATTATTCGATCGGAAATCGTCGAACAATCAAACAAACAAACAAACGTAAAAATTTGTGTTGCGACATTCGTCACACAACAGAAAAAAACAATTGTGAGAGAGAGAGAGAGAGAGAGAGAAAGAGAGAGACACTTGATTCGAATTTCCCACGTTTGCGAAAAGTCTTTTCAAACGATTTTACATCACCTCAATGTTCGTTCTTCATTTTTTTTCATTTTTTTTTTTTTTTTTTGTTAAATTTTGAGGAGGGAAAATAAAATTTCAAATGTTGTCACCATTGTCGTATTTTCCTTTGCGCACACGATAACAAAAAATTTTTTTTTTATGTTTATAAAATGAATATCGATGAAATCGATTTGTTGATGTCGTGAATTTTCGTTAAAAAAGAAATTGTTTTGTTATTATTATTATTATCATTATTATTATTATTATTATTATTTATTATTAATAGAAAGGAATTTTAAAATAAAATAAAATAAATAAATAAGTGTTGAGGTCGCGAAAAAATAATAAGCGAATTTTTATAGCCGAAAGTATCATCATCATCATTTTTAACTGTCACTTTTCGCGACATTTTGTTTTCATTATTTTTATTATTATTATTATTATTAATTATTGTTATTATTAATTATTATTATTATTATTATTAATATTATTTTATTAGTTTTTATTTTTCGAAAATTAAAAAACAAAACCTGAACTCTCGCCCGTTCATTTTCTTTCAGGTTTAGATTTTCTTTAAATTGCATTTTACGTTTAAAAAAAAAAAAAAGGAAAACGTTTCCGGAATTAAAAATCTCTATTGTGGATTTTTTTTCACCCTTTTCCCTTCTTCCCCTCTTTTCCCCTAATAAAAACGAAGAAAAAATTGTTGTTGGCGTTGTTGTTGTGGTTGTTGCGAAAACCGAATTACGTGACGGATTATTGTTCCTTTAAATTTTCACGGTTTAATTCGCAAAAGTTTTTCTTTTTTTTTTTTTTTTTTGTTGTCGTTATTATTATTATTATTATTATTATCATCGTAATTACATCAGCGCTCGACGAGTCCCGAATACAAGTTGGGAATTCGTTTCCGGATTCCATCATCATGAAATTCCCGAATGTTTTTTGTAGGAGTGAATGAACGATGTTTCACCCCACCCTCACCTCCCATTATTATATAAATTTATGACAGTTTTTCCAGATTTTGGTGGATTTTATGCAAGCTTTTCTCTCGGTTCGTATTCACACCCCCCCCACTTCTCCATCCCCTCATCCGAATGCTTATTATTATTATAATTTTAAAAAATCACAGAGTGTGAAATTATTTCTTGAAATTTATTATGAATGAATCACGAGGAAATAATTTAAAAAAAAAAAAAAATGTCGGGCGTGTGATATCGAATCGAATTATCGATTAATCGATTATTTTTCACATCGTCCGGTTTTTTCCGGTTCCTTCCCTATCTACCCAAAAGGCTATAAATGAAGAATTTGCAAAAACGCGTTAAACTTTTTCCAGAAATCCCGCGGGGGGCTGGGTGGGAAATAAGGATAAAGGAAAGGGAGGTTTTTTCTCTTAATCACGACGACGCACACGCATCGAAACGCAATTTTCCCTCCCCTCTCCCTCTCTCTCCCTCCTCCCTCCTTCCGGAAAGTTTACATTTGAACTCGATACAGTGCATAAATATATAAATATGATGTAAAAATCGATAGGATTTAATTCGAGAATCGAAATTCGAAATCGAGTCCGAACATATTTCTTTACATAAGATAATGATGATGATGATAATAATAATAATAATATCGAATTTATCTTTTTTTTTTTTTTTTTTTTTTTTTTTTGTTTTTAAAATTTGATTTTTTATTTGATTTCAGGCTCACACACCTTTGCTCTCCGCCTCCGGAGACAGCAAACACGTAAGTCGAAATAATATTTTCTTTTTTTTTTTTCTCGGCCTTCCAGAGGAAAAAGGAGGGGAAAAGGTAGGGAGGGAGGGAGGAGAAAACAAATTTTGATTAATTAATTAATTAAATTCCGCGGATTTCGATGCAAAAAAAAATTTTTATTATTGTTTTCCTTAAGGAGAAAACGGGAGGGGGGGGCAAAAGAATGATGAAAAATAATTGGGGTGAGGTTTGATTCGTCGCATTTAAAATTTTTATTCGTCTCGTTGTAAAAAATATTATCATCATCATCATCATCACAAACAACTTCTGCTAGTTTTTTGCCAATGATGAAACCTTTTCTCTCTCTATCTCTCTCTTTCTCTTTCTCTCTTTTTACGTGATGGTAAATTAAACGTTCAACGATCCATCGAAATTTATTTCATCGTGCGTTCTCCCCAAAAAAAGAAAAGGAAAAAAAATTTTTTTGGTTTTGTTTTTCGTTTTATTTTTTTGTTTTGTGCGGGCGTTTAACAAATGTTATCATTATTATTATTATTATTATTATTATTATTATTATTATTATTATTATTATTATTATTTCTACGACTTGTAACTTTCGAAATTTGAAAATTGTCGTTAATCACTTTTGATGACTTTGTAACGTGCCTCCTCCCCAGCTTTTTGATTAAATGAACGATGATGATGATGACGATGACATTTAAGACATTTTCTTGGGTCTGGAAAAAATTTTAAAAAAGACTTTCACTTGAAAATTTTTGGAAAACGGGGGGAAAAAAATATTTTCGCAAAAGTTCCGGGAAAATAAAGAGAGAGAGAGTGAAAGTTTCGGGTCGAGAGAGAGCGAGAAAGAGGTCTAAAGAAAAATCCAGGACTCATTAAAACTTTTTTTTTTTTTTTTCCTACCAGAAGAACGTAATATATATATATATTTTTTTTTTTAAAAAACGGAATTTGTAACATTTTCCAGCAACGGTTCCCTTTTTTTGCGAGAAGGAAGGGGGCGGAGGGAGTGTACAAAAAACAAAAAAAAAAAAAAAACTTTCTAAAAAATTATTTTCAAAGTTTTCGAAAGGATTAATGATGATAATAATAATAATAGTAATGATGATGATGATGATGAAGATGAATACGGTTACTACCTCGGGCATTTTTTTTTCTAATTTTTTGCGGGGGGTAGAGAGTGGGGGAGGGGAAAATTTTGTCGGAAACCGTTGTCAATTTGTAATTAGTAAAAAAGAGAAAAAAGAAAATGTCATTTTCGATTGTATGTCTGTTTGTATTAAGAGAGAGAGAAAGAGAAAGAGAGAGGAAAAAATTGGGGGGGGGGAGGGAAATTTTCAAATGGAAATTCAATTTTATTCTCGTAAAATATTGAATAAAAGCATTAACGTGATTCTCATGAGGTTTTTCGTAATCTTTTAATTTCCCTTTTATAAAATGAATAAATTTTCCCTCACGTTGCTCGTCGGGGCATTAAACAAATTTTCCGTACACGAAAAAAAAAAAGAATTTTTTTTTAATTAATTAAAATTTTTGAAAATGATTGCAAAATGAGCATCGTGTTTACGTAGTTAGTTACTCGGGGGGAGGGAAGGGGGGGGCATGCGATCGCAATCGTCGATGATTATGATGATTCGCAAAATTGAAAATTTCTGGGAAAAATTGTTTTTTTTTTTTTATTTTAAATATTATCATTATCTCACTTTCGTTTCAGGTAAACGGAGACGAAGATTGGGAATACGAGGAAATAATATTAGAAAGAGGAGGTGCCGGATTGGGTTTCAGCATCGCCGGCGGAACGGATAATCCTCACATAGGGGATGATTCTGGAATATACATAACGAAACTCATATCTGGCGGAGCTGCTGCCGCGGACGGTCGGCTACGGGTAAACGATACCATACTTCAAGTAAACGATGTTTCCGTTATGGATGTGCCTCATGCCACCGCCGTCGAAGCTCTTAAAAAAGCCGGAAATCAAGTTAGATTGGTTGGTATACAATGGAGGACAGAAATTTTAAAAAAAAAAAAAAAAATTATAAAATGAAAAGATAATAATTTATTTATTTTTTTTTCTATTTTTAGTACATAAGGAGAAAAAGATGTCCGGGAAGTTTAAAATTGGCCGAAATAGAATTACACAAGGGAGCAACAGGGTTAGGGTTCAGCATCGCTGGAGGAATCGGAAATCAACACATACCCGGAGACAATGGAATATACGTGACGAAAATAATGGACGGAGGTGCGGCACAATTAGACGGTCGTTTATTAGTCGGAGATAAATTAGTGGCAGTAAGAACGCCGGTACGTAAAAAAAAAAAAAAAAAAAAACACTTTAACGAAGTTTATGTATATACAAACAGTAATAATTACTGGAGAACAAACAAGATTTTTTCATTTCATATTTTTTTCTTTTTTCTTTTCCTTTTTAGCACGGCGATAAAAATTTAGAAAACGTAACTCACGAAGAAGCGGTGGCGGCGCTTAAAGCAACTCAGGAAAGGGTCGTGTTAATCGTTGGAAAACAGGATTCCGCACTTATCCCGCCGCCACCCACAGTATCGAGTCCCTTACCACGTAAGTGGAAATCTGTGAATGAAAACCTTAGTACGTAGTTGTTTTTCAAAATCTAAATCTATCCTTTATTAATTTGCCTCCCTTATCATTATTATTATTATTATTATTTTATTGCGAATTGTATTTGGGGAGGAGTTTAAAAAAAAAAAAAAAAGAAAAAAAAAATCATAATAATGAAGACGTGAATAACGTTAACGACGTCCTTATCAGGTGGGTTATTATACGATTTCGTTCGTATCAGGTTGATTTTTCTAATAAAAATTTATAAATCTGATTTTAAAATTAGAATTGCCAACAACGAAAAAATTATCGAAAATGGCAGGCGGCCATCTTTTTTTTTTTAATATCGTTATTGTTATTATTATTATTATTATTATTTATTCGGAATCATTGTTATTGATGCTACGTATTTTTCGTTTTAAATAAACAAAAAAATTGAACGCGAAAAAAAAAAAAAAAAAAAAAGATGGTCGTCGTGTTTAATTAAATGAATGATTGAACTTGAGAGTGAGAGAGAGAGAGAGAGAGAGAGAAAGATAGAGATAGGGGAGGAAAATTCAATTATCGCATACGTAAAATATGAAAATTTTGAATTAAGGTACGAAGGAAAAAAATATTGTGTGTAAAATTTTTTTGGTAACGTGATTCACGTCTCATTTTTTTTTTCTTTTTTTTTTATTACTCTAATCGCTTAATAATTTATTATTATTATTAGTAATTTATTATTATTATTATTATTAATGCAGCAGTATTTGGGATTTATTCGTATTTATTTGTTAATTAATTTTACTTAGTTTTTTTTTTTTTTTTTTTTTTAAATGATCATTTGTAAATTTGTTTCTTTATTTCATTATCGTTATTCGATATTGTTTCGCGAAATTATGAATTTTATTATTATTATTATTATTATTATTATTATTATTATTATTATTATCATCGTAACGAAACGATTGTGAGGACGTGGAGGGAGAAAAAGGTAACGAAAAAAGAGTCGTCAACAATAACGATAAGGTTGTATTATTATTGCGTTACGACGTTGACGTATCGGTAGTTAATAGATTAATCGATGAAATTTGTCATCTTAAATTCCTGCTGCTGTTGCTGTTGCTGCCACGTCGTAGATAAATGATGGTTTTAAAATAAAAATTTTTTTCTTATTTTTTTTTAGCTTCCGGTGGTGATGGATCACCTTTACCTTATCAAGAATCTCGTAATTTAAGTTCATCTGTAGCTACCTTGCAATCGGCGACTCCGAGAGCCGTCAGCACCGAAGATATATCTCGGTGAGTCTTTCTTAATTTTTTGTTGTTGTTGTTGTTATTATTATTATTATTATTATTATTATTATTATTATTATTATTATTATTATTATTATTATTATTATTATTATTATTTCGTTTTCAATTCCGTTTGAATGGATAAAAAAAAAAAAAAAAAACTCGGTAGAAGATGAAACAAAGTTTTTGTTTTTGTTTTTGTTTGAATAAAAAATGAATGAATCAAATCTTTTGGAAAAGTACCTCAAACGTTTAATTTAAAAAAAAAAAATAATAATAATAATAATGATAAATTTCATTCTTTTCAAAAGTTTAAAGTAGCAATTATTTTATAATGAGGGCGTAGAAAGAAAATACCGTGGACGGAAAAGAAAATGCGGATAATTTTCTTTTATTTTTTTTTTTTTTTACTTTTGTGTTGAGATATTTGTAATTGATTATCTCTGTCTCTCTCTCACTCTCACTCTGTCTGTCTGTCTCTCTCTCTCTCTCTCTCTCTCTCTCTCTCTCATTATTGTTTTGAATAATTTTTAAGGAGTTATTTTTCCGTTTTCGAATCGTCTGCTTCTTCTTCCTCTTCTTCTTTTAAGCTTGACTGCTTTCTATATATATATATATATATTTAGTTGTTAATGTTTTTTCTGGAATTTTCCATTATCGTTGTTAATCCTCCCGAAAAAAAAAAAAAAAAACTCTGATGATAATAATAATATTTTCGTTCATTGTAATTGTTCTTTGAAATGGAAAAGAAAAAAAAAAAAAAAAAAAAAAAAAAAAAAAAAGAAGAAGAAAATTCGTAACAGTGAATATAATTAAATTTCATCTTCGCCATTTTTCCTTTCGTTATTGTATTAATTTAATAAAAAAAAAAAAAAAAAAAAAAGACTCGGAGGGAGAGAGAGGGAGGGAGAAATGATAAAATGAGCAGAAAAGAAAAAAAATTATCATTATCATTATTATTGTTATTATTTGAAAATAATTTAAGATTTTTGTTAGGGGAAACGTAAATGATAATGACATTAAATATCGGTTGTTATTATTATTATTACTTTGTTTAAATATTTATTTTACTTATTATTATTATTATTATTATTATTATTATTATTATTATTATTATTATTATCATTATTGTTTTTTTCTCTCTTTTAATCACGACTTCGCGGGTATATATATATTTATATCTTCATTTTATTACCCGAGATTTTTATGCTAAGAGAATAATGAATGTGAATGTTCTGGAATAATGGCGGAAGGTTATCGCGCATGAAATTGTGTCTTGGAATGATATCCGGTTTATCGAGGATGGCGCGTACGGATTTGTTTGTTTGTTTGTGTTTGTGTATTCGATTGTTGTCGGACGATCCGTTGTTGTGAACCGGATTTTCGGAATGCGATTGTTTTTGTCACTCTTCGACTCTGTTCCTTCCTTAAACGTGTTGCATCCCGGTAACCGGAAGTTCGGGATCCCTTGCGGTTTCCTTGTTTCGTCGAACCTCTGGAATTATCCTTTTCTGTAGTTACCGATTGTTCCAGAATTTTATCGTGTAGAGAACTGAGGGTGTGCGTTTGTGTCCCATCCCTTGACCTCGGCAATGTAGGAGTTTTTGTTTGGATGCTGAAAAAGAATGAAAAGACATTATAATAATAATAATAATTTTCTAAAAGATGAAAAATTAATTAAAAAGACAGAGGGAGAGAGAAAATTAAATATTAAAAACCTCTCGGGTATTAATTTAATGCACTAGTAATCGTTCCTACAATTATGGAAAGCTTAATAATAATAATAATAATAATAAGGTTTATCAACTCATTTCGTTCGTTATTAAGTGCCTGACACGAGATGATATGATTATAATGATAATAATTAAATTTTTTTTTTTTTTCATTTCGTATTATAATAATAATTAAACCATGGATTCGTAGTATTAGTAGTAGTAAATTTATTAATAGAGTCCGGTTGGTATTATAAATGGTACCTTTTAAAGAAAAAAAAAATTTTTTTTTTCTTCTCATATCTAGAATTTCGCATTGCGCGGTTGTTGTTGTTGTTGTCGTTGTTGTTGTTGTTGTTGTTGTCGTTGTTGTTGTTGTTGTTGTTGTTGTTGTTGTTGTTGTTGTTGTTTTCCTTCTTCTTGTCATTCGTTTTTTTTTTTTTTTAAAAACTTTTCCGTAACCGATCCGTTTTAAAAAATATCAAATTTCAACTGTCACAACGCGAGAAAGAAAAAGATGGATAGATAGATAGATAGAGTGGGAGAGAGAGAGAGGGGGCAATAATTGTATAAACAAAGTCGGACAGACAATATGGATGCAGGGAATTTTTACAAGACAAAAAAAAAAAAAAAAAAAAAAAAAAATGACCCAAGGACAATTTTCGAAATTTTCACCGTGAATAAAAAGGGTTACAGAGTAGTGGTGGTGGTGTTGGGGGATAAAAGGGGGGATGAAGAAGGAAAGAAATCGTTTGCTCGTCGACAACCGACAACCGGTATTTAATTTTTTTTTATTTTTTATTTTATTTTATTTAAAAAAAAAAAAAAAAAATCGAAATCGAATCGAACGAGAATTAACGATAAGGCGTAT